AATTAAAGTTGAAAACTTGAAAAAAAAATGGTGTGGATGGCACAGAACTGGGCGGTGTACGTAGGATCATTCTGTTGTACCTAGACGCCAACTCCACGGCACCTGGCAACAGAACAGCGTTGATTGTTCTGAGGGACATGTTCATCACAGGTGTTCTTGTTCACTTTATAAGCCTCTCTATTGTTTGGCTGAAAGATGATCTCGGGGAGTGAGATCGATTCCAGGTTTGAAGGGCATAGAGGGAGGACCTTAGTCTCAGGGATTCTACCAGCCTCAAACAGGCCAGTAAGTCTGTCCTTTTTATACCTGAATTTCTCTCCCACTCTGCCAGGATTGTGATCCCAAACAGAGTTGGGATCTGATGGTTTTGATATATCCACACATTTCTTTTTTTAATTGTTTATTAGGGGCTCATACAACTCTTATCACGATCTATACATACATCGATTGTGCAAAGCACATTTGTACATGTATTACCCTCATCATTCTCAAAACATTTGCTCCCCACCTAAGCCCCTGGTGTCAGCTCATTTTCCCCCCTCTCCCTGCTCCTCCCTCCCCTATGAACCCTTGATAATTTACAAATTATTATCTTGTCATATCTTGCACTGTCTGCCATCTCCCTTCACCCACTCCTCTGCCGTCTGTCCCCCAGGGAGGAGGTCATACATAGATCTTTGTAATCGGTTCTCCCCTTCCAACCCACCCTCTATCCACACATTTCTTACTACGCATCCTTTCAGGAGGTAGCACTTAATTTCCTCTCTCTTGAATATAAACTAGACTTACCGACTCATCTGTTTTCCTATCTTAACCATATTTTATTTTATTTTTTTAATTTCTTTCTTAACCATATTTTTAAAAATCAATTTATTGAGGCTCATACAATTCATCACAATACATAGATCAATTGGGTAAAGCACATCTATACATTTGTTGCCCTCATTATTCCCAAAATTCGCTTTCCTCTTGGGTTCCCGGAATCAGCTCATTTTCCTTTCCCCCCACCTTCCCTTCCTCCTCTCCTTTCCCCCATGCACCCTTGATAATTTATAAATTATTATTGTATCTTATATTACACTGCCCGGCGTCTCCCTTCACCCACTCCTCCGCTGCCCGTCCCCCAGAGAGGAGGCTATATGTAGCTCCCTGTGATCAATTCCCCCTTTCTACACCCCCTTCCCTCCTGGTATCGCCACTGTCACCCCTGGTCCTGAGAGGTTCATCTGTCCTAGATTCCCCGCATTTCCAGTTCCCATCTGTACCGCTGTGCATCTAACCAGGTCTGCAAGGCAGAACTGGGGTCCTGGTAGTTGGGGGGAGTCTTAACCATATTTTGAAACATTCTTTTAAAAAAGTGTTTATTGTGAATTGGGATAACAGAAAGTTTACAGAGCAGATCATCAGTTTCACACTCAAGAGTTCATACACATTTTGTTTCCTCTCATCCACTGCAGCCCCTCAATATAATATGACAACTGTCATCCACCACAGTGATCCTCTGAGACAGGGTAGACCCACCTGCATGGGTTTCTGAGGCTGTAAATCTTTTCCAGAGCAGACAGTCTCATCTTGTTCCTGCAGAGCACCTTCATATCTTTAACTAGTTTCTCTCCTTTCCTATTTTTGGGATTTGGTATTGGGTTGATTTGTGTGCCTCAGGAGTTTGGCTAAAAAAGTTTAATCTTGTCATAGTTTTTATGCAAATATCACATGGCAAAATTAAAAAGCAAGTCTTTAAAATGTGAAAATAATTATTAGGAACATACTTGGGTATGAAAGCTTAACGAAATATGAAGAAATGTTTTTAATTTACCCCCAGACATACAGAAAACTAAATGACAACACATAAATGACAGTAATTTTTGAAAATGATAGTAATTTTTGGCAGTGCATGACAAGCTGAACAGTGCTAAGTAGCTATAAAAACAAGCAAATTACGAATATGTCGGATACAACTGGGGTATGGTTTGTAACAAGAGTTGTTAGAGCCCCCAATAAAATGATTAAAAAAAACAAGCAGTAACTTGACTCATAGATACCATGAGTCAGTGATTAGTGTACTGCTTTGTCATTTATTTAATATTATTTTTACTTGGTTTACTTCATTGCAATGGGTAACAATTACATAGCTGTCAAACTATACTCCTTAGTTAAGTAACAGATTAGACCTGGAAATGGAACATTATAGAAATAAAGACACACAATCAGGGTGCAGCAGAGCACTAATGGATCACACAATATACCTCTGACCCCTTGAGGACCTCTTGAGGGCCCCCCCACCCCCCCAGCTATCATGACCCTAGTGCCACTCCCAATCTAGACTAGATGGGAGCATGTACACAGGTTGTGAGATAAAACTCACAACACATGGAACCCAGGAACAGGAATGGGAATAGAGGTACCAAAAGGGGAGGGGGTGGGGAGGGAGGGAGGGAGGCACCGATCACAAGGAGTGGCACATAACCACACAGCCCCATGCAGGGGGAAGAACAACAGAAACCAGAGGGGGAGGGAGACAGCGGTCAGTGAGATTTGAAAATAATTAACAATCTACAAGCCATGAGGGTTGGGGAAGGAAAGGGAGGAGGGAGGGAAAAAAGAGGCGCTGATCCCAAGAGCTCAATGGAAAGTAAATGTCTAGAAAAGAACGATGGAATATATGTACAACTGATGTATGGATTGTAACAAGAGTTGTAAGAGTCCCCAATATAATGATTATTAAAAAAAAAAAAAGAACACAATGACTAACCAGCTAGGCTTTTCTTGGGGAAGGTATGTGGAGTTTGAGGGCTAGCAATGTTTGGTTTCCTGAAAACATCCAAAATGCAGCAGAAAACCAAAAAATCTCATTGATAATTTGATCCTGATTTGTTACCACTATTTTTCCCCTGTAAACAAATTGTGAAACAGACCACAAAGTTTCAAAACTAAGTCTGAAAGTCAATACTTACATATATAAAGACTTAAAACAACACTGAGTGGGTTTTCTTAAGACATCCATCAAATAACTTAATGTATCAAATAAAATTCATATTAGAGGGGCAATATACAACGATTTATCACATAAAATTCATATTACAGGCACTTAAAATATACTAGTTACACTAATTCACCTGCCAAAACTAGTAATCCCAGAGAACAACATACTTTTAGTAAAAGTATTATCCTTTATTTATAAAGCTCAATCAAATTTTCTTTAAGCAAAAAATTTTTTTCTTGAATCTTGAAATTGCTTTCTATCTTTCCTCCTTTGAACTCTTACTCGAAAGATTCGTCTCTTTTAAATAGTTTCCAATCATGTTACAGCTGACAACAACAAAATTAAATGCACTTAGTACTTTAATAGTCATTAAAATCTCCCAATCATAATTACTTCGACTATAATAATTCTGTTGTGATTTGAATTCATGAAAGCCATTTGTTTCTACTTTCCTATGTTTTCTAAGAATTTGTCAACATTGTCCTTTGATAGTAAATAAAATTCAAACCATCTAGGTTCCCCAAATTTGGCTTTACAGAAACATGATAACCTTGCGTTTGGAGAGTAAAGAGGACTTAAAACACTGATCAAACACTATGAACTGTCTCCTTATGCCTCAAGACAAAGGAAACAAAAACCCTGACAACTGACCAACAAATAACATGATGGTAAAGGCAGACTAGGTTGAAGTTGTCAAGATCTTTAACTTTGATGCATGGAAACAGTAGTCAAGAGATCTCTGTGCAAAATGTGCTCCAAAAGACCTCTTTAAAATGTAAAAAAGGACGTTGTGCCTGACTCGAGCCCTGGTATTTTCAATTGCCTCACAGACAATGTAGAGGCTGGGCAATCATATGGTAGACTGGGGAAGTATCGACGCGTTTGCATTGTAGTGTGGCCTAATACTGAATGTGCGTGGATTAACAACCCGTCTCGGAAGTACAGCCTGTATGCTCCTTGCAGGAGAGTCTGGTGAGGCTTTTTCTCTCGTATTTTGGACGAGTTCTCAAACGCAGCCATGACTGTGAGGCTGGCCAGGACCCGGCAGTCTTTTGTTCTGTTGTACAAAGGGTCGCGAGAGTGAACCAAAATCAAAGGCACCTCACAACCGCTCAAAGGGCTTATTTTGAAAGAGTAAACAATTACTCAGAATAATGATGAATGACAAATTCATCGTCCTCAGGGACTTTTTTTCCCCCTCGTCTAGTTTCAATGATCCAATGAAACTGTCACGAAGCTCAAAGGTCATCTTTGATAGCGTGGTTCGGTCCTGCCCCTCTTGGTCTTCCACTTTAAGTTTCCTCGTCCCTCCATCATTTTCTCCAAGCCTCATTTTTGCAACGTTTCCCGCTCCCTGGCAGGAAGGAGGACGTCTAAATAACTTCCAAACTTCTCGCAGCCGTCACGGGTCCCAGCCTTCCCTAAGTCACCGCTCACCCGGCCATCACACCTGCAGCAGCCTCGCCGGCCGCGTCCAGGAGGACTCACCTGCCGCGGCGCCGGGCCGGGCGCTTCCGGCCCACACCTGGGAAGGGGCGGTCCCCTAGCCGCCGCCGGGAGCCACCAGGTCCAGCAGGTTGGCGCCCCGCCCCGCCCCCAGGCGGTGATTGCAGGGAGGTGAGCGGCCCCCAAGAGCTGAGGGGCGGAGCCACCAGGTCCAGCAGGTAGCGCCCCGCCCCCAGGCGGTTTTTGCAGGGAGGTGAGCAGCCCCCAAGAGCCGGGGGGCGGAGCCACCAGGTCCAGCAGGTTGGCGCCCCGCCCCGCCCCCAGGCGGTGATTGCAGGGAGGTGAGCGGCCCCCGGGAGCCGAGGGGCGGAGCCACCAGGTCCAGCAGGTTGGCGCCCCGCCCGCCCCGCCGCGCACCCCGAGCGCGCAGGTCCTTCAGCTAGTTCGCAGCCTCCACCCGGCGCAGGGACCGTCTCAAGGAGGCCTTTCCGACGCGGACCCCGCGCCACACGACACAGGCCCCGCGCCGGCCCCGGCTCCCCGCTCGCCTCGCGCGCTCGCCCCGCTCCCCGCGAAGGCGCGCTCACTATGGCGCCTCCCCGGGCCCTCGCCTTGGCCCTCCTGCTCGCGACCGTGGCGGTGGCCACGGCTCAGAAAGGTGAGCGGCGGAAAGTGGGTGCCCGTGCGGGTCCGCGAAAACGACCGTTGGGGAGGGCGCGGGGTGCGCGTTCTCCCTCCCGGAGTCCGGCACCTGCCACCCGCGCTGTCCGCGCTCCGGCGGCGACGGGAAGGCGCCACCGCGCGCGCGCGCGCGCGCGCTCGAGGGCGCGGCCTCACCTGGCGGCTGCGGACCCCTTTCTCGGGAAGAGGGTGGGGCTGCGGCGGAGGCGCTGGCGGGGCCCCGGCTGGCCACGGCCGGGACCCCTGCGGCCCGGGGCTGGGAGCGCGCGGGGCGGGAGAGACCGGGCAACTTCGCGGTCGCGGCCCCCGCACCTGAAGCCAGGTTTGCCCACCGCGGGTGGCGATAGACTTTAGTTCCGGCAGGGCCTACTCCCGCCTCCCCGAGCGAGTCCTCCCTCCGCCACAGGGAAGGTGGCCCGCCCCTCCCCGCGCACTTGCGGCGGCCCCGGATGTGGGCCCCGGGCGGCCGCAGGTGACTGGGGAGGCCTTGAAGCCGCTGCGCACCTGTGCGCGGGAGACAGCGCCCCGGGGCTTCGCTGGGCGTTGGTGTTTTCCCTTTTATGAAAGAGATGAGTAATGTCAAGTTTATTGTAGAGAACGCAAATAACTTTAGCGGTAAAGAATGAAAAGCACCCGTGTTTGCCCCCCTTTGGGAGAATCCCATAGTTCATCAATTGGCATAGTTTTCGTTCAGCCATTGCTCCAAACCTGAAAGCATACTTTCATATCTATTTTTTGTTTTTTTTTTTAAGCACGACTTATAAAATAGTGATGGGAAATTCTATAGCATGTAAAGTTGGCCATGTAGTTTGGCTCCAGTTTTTCGTGCTTTGGAATAAATATCTCGGTTGTCAAACCTCTTGATTTCTTTGTTAAGTGGGTAGAAGTAGAATGGGAATTTTATCTAGAGCTTTCCCCAAAAGCTTCTGGACTCCCACCAAGGGAGGTCTAGTTCATTAAACCTTCGAAAGGATACTGGTTTCCTAACTTGTTGGGGCTAAGTAATCTGAAATTGCTTTAAAATGGTGGTATCTTCTCTAGACAAATGTTCTGAGTCTATGTGTGACTATTTGGCCTTTAAAATTTTCACATGGAGACTAAAAATGTTGCTTTAAATAGTGATGGTATAATGCTGCATACGATTTTAATTCCTTGAGGACTCCCACTATACTTTGTCCTTTTGTGATCCCAATATTGGGTTTAGCGCTTGACAGATGATAGGTGTTCATGTAGATTATACTTATAAAGAGGGAGAATTAAAAGCCAATTTAGAGTGGCTGCAGTTTAGGTATTGAGCTACTAACCACAGATTGGCTGTCTAATTATGTGTTTACATTTAAGGCGTCCTGATGGTAGTGGGGCTGTTCTACCCTGTCCTACTGGGTTGTTATGAGTCAGACTGAACTCCATAGCAGTGTGTTTGATTTTTGGTGGATGGCACTGTTGGTTCAGTAGTTAAAGCCCACCAGCTACTCCGCAGGAGAAAGATAAGACTTACATTCTTGGACACCCAAATCGTGTTGCTGTTAGTCAGAATACACTTGATGGCAGTGAGTTTAGTTTTAGTTTGGGGCTACAAAATACATGATCAGTGATGCTGGTTTGGGTTTTAAATAATTTCTAATACTTAACTATACAAAGGCATGTGACCGACCGACAGTTTGCCAGTGTGAAGCTGAAATGAACGTATGTGATGGTCACCAGGAAAACTATTAAAGTGACCCCAGGATAGGTTGTTCGTATCATTTTTTTAAAATTAGGATTTATTTTGTTAAGAAACCCACATATCAAAAAAACCAAATCCACTGCTAGGAAGTTGATTCTGTACTACTAGTGACCTCACAAAAGGCTTCTAAATCTGTAAATCTTTAGGGGAACAGCCAGCCTCATCTTTGTCACTCAGGGTGACTGGTAGGCTTGAACAGTCAACCTTGTGGATAGCTGCCCTAACTCCCTACACCAGCGGTCCTCATCCTATGGGTGGTGACCCCTTTGGGGGTTGAATGGCCCTTTCACGGGTCACCTAAGACCATCGGAAAACCACATTACGATTCATAACAGTAGCAAAATTACAATTAAGTAGCAACAAAATAATTTTGTGGTTGGGGGTCACCACAACATGAGGAACTGTATTAAAGGGTCGCAGCATTAGGAAGGTTGTGATCCACTGCACTACACCAACAGGACTCCGGACATAGAAAGTTGTCCCCAAATTCTACTGAAAAATATAGTCAGAGATTGAATATGTTTCCATTAAGCCAAATAAAGAAAAAGCAATAATTCATTAGGAACATGGTGTGGCAGTTGGAGTGGGGCCGTATATGGACACTCACAGAAACTAGAATTTAGTATTACTGGTTTTTTTGAGGAAAGGCAATGACTGACAGGTTGATCCAGTAGGACAGGAGGTGAGAAGTTTCTGGGACAGGGAACATCATAAAGGCAAAGGCTGGATGTGGTGTTTGAAGGGCTGTATTCCTGGTTTACAATAATTGAAATGCAAATTGGATTATGTGTGTCTGCAGTATATTGTGTATACAGTCTGTTTAGCACAGGGTTTGGCTTTTTTTCCCCCCCCAAAAAAACAATTTTCTTGGGAGTTAATACAGCTATATTACAGAATTTGGCACTTTGAAAGCACACTTTATAGCAGAAAAAGAAAATGTTCAGGGCTGCTTTTTAAGACCTTGTGCCCCTGTAACATGGCATTGTCAGAAGTTAATTTAGTTGAGATAATTTATCCACAACTTAAATTGGATTTTTTGGTTTGTGTTTTTGTTGAGAATTTGCACAGCATAACATACATCAATTCTACAATTTCCACATGTGCAATTCAGTGACAGTTGATTACATGCCCACCTATTTTCACCCTCCTTTTTTGTTGCCCCTTACCATTGACATAAACTCTCACTTTCCCTAAATTTCCTGTCTAATCTTTTCAATGGCTGTTGTCGATTTGATCCCACAGAGATAGGTCTTACAAACAAACACACAGTGTTCAAGGCAGACATTCTTTACTAGTTAAGATAAACTGTTGCTTGATTTTTAATGAGACTTCATGGAACATTTTTGGCTAATGTGTTGTGTCCCGCGCCTCCGCTCCCCACCCCAGAATGTCGCTGTGAAAACTACAAGCTGACCACAAACTGCAGCACGGACAGCAGTGGTGAATGTCGCTGCACTTCTCTTGGTACACACCATACTGTCGCTTGCTCTAAATGTGAGTAGAATGTCTTCATTGTCTTTGAACTTTACTTTTTGGATTGGGAAGAGTTTTACTGGCTCCAATTGGAATCATGTTGTTTAGAAAGTGGGCTGTGATGTACTGTTGAATGTAAAACTGATGATCTGCTCTTATAAACCTTCACTCAATACACAACAAAAGGTTTTTGTTTTGTTTTTCAATAAGAAGAAAGTGGGTGTGGGAGCATGGAAAGTTATAGTAATCGTTTCATACTCAGAATTTTGTGTTAAATTATTTTTTCCCCTCCGTAATCATAAAACTTCAGTCTGACATTAAGCTTTCTTTTTAGTGGCTACTAAATGCTTGGTGATGAAGGCGGAAATGACAGGCTCAAAGTCTGGGAGAAGAGTCAAGCCTGAGGGGGCAATCCAGAACAACGATGGGCTTTATGACCCTGACTGTGACGAGAAGGGGCTCTTCAAGGCCAAGCAGTGCAATGGCACTGCCACGTGCTGGTGTGTCAACACTGCTGGGGTCAGGAGAACCGATAAGGACACGGAAATAACGTGCTCTGAACGTGTGAGGACTTTGTGAGTTGAACTGCCTATCACTCATTTTCATGCTTTTTGGAATTATCTAATGAAATTTATTGTTTGAATATGTAATGTGATTTCATGGTTTAGAACGCAAAAGGCAAGGCGAACAGTAAACATAAATCTCTGCTCCATCCCAAATGCCAGCTACTCAGTTTACCTCCGTAGAACTTACAACACCTACTATGTCACTTTCAGAGGTATTTTATGATATCAGCAATTAATCATCTATGTTTACTTTGTTTGAAACAGAGAAGGATCTGTTGGAAAATAGGACTTTAGATCAATGATTTAACAACATAAAAGGCAACTATGCATATTTACTTTGCTAGACAGCATAGACAATCATCATGTTGATTACCTTGAAAGAGACTGTGGAGAAGCTCAGTATCATTGGTCAGAACAGACATTGATCAGGCCTTTAGAACCGACTGTTACTGCTCATAGGCCAACTCAAGTGGAAGAATATTCAAATAAGTCCACGAGAGCCACAATCCAACATCACACTTGAGTTTAGAGGCCTCTGAAGAATAGATTTGATGCATTGAACACTACTGACCCAAGATCAGGCGCGTTGTGGAATGATACCAGGTACATCATAAGCAGAGTAGTTAAAGTGAATGGAAGAAGTAAAAGGGTTGAACAGAATTTCTCAAGCAGCATTTTGAGAAGACCAAGTATTAATAATGAAATGTGAAAAGACATGGAATTAGAAAACCCAAAGGGAAGCTCACTACCAACAGTTCTCAAGCTGAAAGAACTGAAGAAAAAATGAAGCCTCAAATTACCATGTTGAAAGATTCTGTAGGCAAAGAAGCATCAGAAGATGGGAGGAATACACAAAGCCATTGCACCAAACAATTGGCTGGTTAGTGTCCATCTATTTCAAGAGGTTGCATATGATCAGGAGCCTGTGCTACTGGCTGAAGTCTACTTCTTCAAAACAATGCGCTAGGCATTGACAGAAAGCCAACTGAAATATATTTACGTGCAAATACATTTTTGCTGACCTTCATTTAAAAATAGTTGTACATTGGTAGAGAACTGCTAGAAATTCAAGCTGGATTCAGAAGAGAATGTAGAATAAAGGATATCATTGCTGATGTCAGGCTAAGAAAACCAGAGAATGTTTACCTGTGTTTTATTGACTAGGCAAAAGCATTCAAGTTGTGGATAACATGCCCCAAAGTGGAAAATCCAAGCCTTCACTTGTGCTCACATGGAACCTGACCAAGAGGCAGTCATTCAAATGCAACATGGGGATACAGTACGATTTTAAGTGGGGGACGGTGAACATGTGTCAAGGTTGTATCCTTTAACCATACTTAATCCGTGTGCTGTACTCTGAGAAGCTGGACTGCATGGACAATAACTTGGCATCCGAGTTGCAGGAAGAGTCATTAACCTGTGATACTGCTGATGACACCACTTTGCTTGCTGGAAGTGAAGAGGACTTGAAGCACTTGCTGATTGAGAGCAAACACTATAACCTTCAGTGTGGAACACACTTCAACATGAAACAAAAACCTTCACAACTGAGCCTATAAGCAACAGCATAGAACCTGAGATCGTCGTTGTGGGGGATTCCCTCTCATTGGGAGTCACAGTAAACAGCCATGGAAGCAGCTGACAAGAAACCAAATGACGGATCACATTGGTAAACCTGCTGCCAAAGACCATGGAAGCAGCTGACAAGAAACCAAATGACCGATCACATTGGTAAACCTGCTGCCAAAGACCTCTCGCAAGTGTTGAAGAGCAGAGATGTTGCATTGAGGACAAAGGTGTACCTTAGTCCCGTGGTATTGCCACCTGCCTTACATATACGTATGAACGCTGGACAACGCATTTTTTTTTAAAGCCAAAAAAAGATTTTGATATCTTTGAGTTAACCTTTTGTTAAAGAATATCAAATATATGAGGGGGTTTCCAAAAACTGGGGGAAACATTTTATTTTCCTTAAAACTTTTTAAAACCTCATATCATGAACTCCCAAAAGAATGAACAAATCTATCTTGGAACAAGTACAGCCAGAGTGCTGCTTTGAAGTGAGGATGGCAAGACATCATCTCACATACTTGGGAAGGATCAGCCCCTGAAGAGAACATCACGTTTTATAAAGTAGAGAGAGGGTCAGCTAAAAACTAGAAGGACCCTGGACAAGATGGTTCGGCCCCGTGGCTCGACACAACATTTGTGAGAAGGGCCCAGGACGCGTATTGTACATAGGATCGCTGAGACAGAACAACAACACGGTTTCTTTATTTTTTGTATAGTCAGCAGCATTCTAAACATAATTTCTCCTGTGTTTTTTTACGTCACACGCTTAGTAGATTGTGCTAAACATAAATAATATGGATAATTTGACTATGTGCTCTTTTTCGTGGTACGGTTGGCTCAGATAATTTAATGAAATGGGACAGAAAGTTGTCGGGAACCAAGGTCTCTTCTGAAGCCTGTTCTTTGCTTCTTTCCGTGCCGTGTTCCATCTTGAGTTGTATGTGGTCCAACATGCCATCTCAGCCTTGGCCTCAGGACAGAGGGTTCAGATTAGATTGGGTAGCTTCCGTGAAAAAAATTAGGGGCTTCCCTAATTTATAAATTGTTTTTGCTAGCTCTGCTTTACTGCCACTTGAGAGTTTTAGTATCACTAGTGGGGCTACCGTGGAGCGATTGAGTGGTTAACAAACTGCATTCTTTGTCCTTCACAGTTGGATCATCATTGAACTAAGACACAAATCAAGAGAAAAACCTTACAATGTTGAAAGTCTAAGGCTGTAAGTATTGTTAAATTCATTATTTTATACAGTAGGTGCCCACCCCTCCATCCTAAACCATTAGGAAGACCTGAGCCTAGATATTTCTTCATGCTTCTGAATAATAAGGTGTCAAAAGTACATTTGACACGTTACTGTGAGGTGCAGCTGCAAGGCTACAAAGAACTCCTGTGGTTTGTTCCTGCACTTGACTCAGGCAGGTTCTCAAAATATTAACATTTTGTTGCATCTGTGTGCACATATATGCGTATGCTTGATGAATGTACACATTTTACGTAAAAATTATTTAAGAGGAAGGTGTATATATGCCCTTTTATCCCTAAGTACACCCACAGATACTTGATAATCACGGATTTTCAAATTCAGGAAATGTAATATTATCATCTTGTGCCAGTTTTCCCAATGTGATTTTTCTGTACAATTAGATTCAAGTTAAACATTTTGACATGTACTTAAGTCACAGCAGGGGGTGCACAATACCGATTTGTCTCATTACTAGTGATGTTAGCTTTGATTAAGATGGTGTCCACCAGGTTTCTCCATTGAAAAGCTAATGTATCCCCCGTTGTAATGAATAAATAATCTATAGACAGGTACTTGAGTACTCTGTAAATGTCTTGTTTCTCATTAAACTACCAATCAAGAGTTTTTGTATCCATGAGTCAGTGTAACCTGAATCAATTATTACTGATAGTTGTAAAATGACTAAATCATATTAATAATGTTTAGTTAATAATTCTAGACATTAAGCTGTCTGCTTAGTAGTACTTATTAAGGACTGCTTACTATTGTGTGATATAAATACTTGTTTAAAATCAGACTTTAATTTACAGGGCTCTTGAAGAGGCATTCGCAACTCGTTATCAGCTGAATCGAAAATACATCACAAACATTCTGGTAGGGCTTAACAATTAAAAAGTCCTGAGGTCTCTATAATGTGAATTCCCTGTTGTGGTTTGGCTTCTTTGGCCTTTGAAAACTCCAGTGTGCCATTAACATAGAGTATCTTGTAGTCAGTTCCTTTTTTTTTTTTTAATTAAAAGATAATTTTATTGGGGGCTCTTAACAGCTCTTATAACAATCCATACTTTATCTCAAGCATATTTGTACATATGCTGCCATCATTATTTTCTTTCTGTGTGAGCCCTTGATATCAGCTCTTTTTTCCTTCCCTCCCCCCCTCCCATCCTCATGACCCCTTGATAAATTATTATTTTTATATCTTACACTGACTGCTGTCTCCCTTCCCCCACGGTTTCTGTTGCTCATCCCCCTGGTGGTGGTGGGGGTGCTTTCATTGCTATCCGTTCCCCCTTCTCTCCCCACCTTCTCCCAACCCTCCTAGTATCACTACTCCCATTTCTGTTCCTGGATTTCATGTGTAGTGAGCTCTTATCTCTTATCTGTACCTGTGTACATGCTCCGGTCATGCCTGCAGTGAAAGGCAGGACTGGGGTCATGATAGTGGGGGGTGAGGAAGCCTCAAGGAACCAGAGGACTATTGTGTGCTTCATCTGTGCTATACTGCGCCCTGGTCGACTCATCCCTTCCCTGTGACCCTTGTGGCAGAGATGTCCCATTGTCTACAGATGGGTTTTGAGTCTCTGGTCTGACTCCCCTCATTCTCAACAATATTGTAGTTCCTTTTAAGCAAAAGTAGTCATCTTCCCAAGAAAGCCTCTTTCTGTTACTGCTTTTGGCACATACTTACTTTACAGGATGTTGTTTCTTTCTCCCAAGTCCTCTGGTTTAAGGAACTAGACCTTAACCAGCTCTTTAGTACCTTAACTCTTTTAACGCTGAACAGTACCTGAATAATGCCGTTGAACTCTAAAGGAAATACGAATTTATTACATTCTTTGGATTAGAATTGATGTATTTTTTTAAAACAAGTACTTGGTAGCAGTATACTTTTTTACTCTTTAAAAGCAGAACACAGTTAATATATATAGTATTTGGGGTTGCATTTCTTTAATAACTTGTTTTAAAATCTTTTCAGGAGAAGCAAATTCCCTTTTGTGAGGGGCAAAAATATCTATTAAAGATTTCGAAGTATTAATATTAAATTGAGTTTTCCACTGATGGACAGGAACAATGGTGCATGGTTATAGTAGAAAATCAAGCACTGAATATTCTTATTATGAAACTGATGTTTTATATGATTTTGGATATGTTAATTTGTTTTGTTTTTTCAATTTCCTCAGTATGAAAATGATGTCATCACTATTGATCTGGTACAAAATTCTTCTCAGAAAACTCAGAATGAGGTGGACATAGCGGATGTGGCTTATTATTTTGAAAAAGATGTATGTATATATTTTTTCTCACTTTTTCCTGTGTTTGAGAATACAAAGCTTTCTCATGCTTCCGTGGCTTCAAGGTGTCCCATCACCTTTTTCTCCAGAGTTCCAACCTTTGCACTGAGGATTATTCACGTGGTTCGTTTTGACTCTCCATAGGAAATCTTTGTCACAATTCTGCCTTTGCCTCCTGTTCGCTGTTACTCCTCTGTGTGTATAAATTATATCCATAGCCTCCAGGAACAAGAAACTCTGTGATAATGCTATGTAACATGACACTTAAAAATACTTTAATGTTAATATATTACTTGTTAAAGCACAGTACTTTTTGATTCTATCTGGGATTTGACTTACAACTTTTGGCTTATGATTGAAGGAGTGGGGAAGGAGAATAGAAGAAGAAATGCATTGGCTATGTGTTGATAATCTGAATCTGGGTGTGATAGGTACATAGAGCTGCATTATACTTACCTTTCTACTTCTGTATATGTTTAAGCTTCTCCCACATTTAAAAACTTTTTAAAAAGTTTCAGTGCATCAGGTTGTTGTCACTGAAACTTTAAAAAAGTGTGACAAGCCGATTTTTGGTATGTACCAGGTGTGTAACTAAGTATATTCGGATAAGGTTGGTTTTCTTAAATATTTTAATTCCCTTTTCCTTGTGGTAGGTAAAAGGGGAATCTTTGTTTCATTCCCCGAAAATGGACCTGAGTGTAGATGGAGAACAACTGGATCTGGATCCTGGTCAAACTCTAATTTACTATGTTGATGAAAAAGCGCCTGAGTTTTCGATGCAAGGGCTGAAAGCTGGGATCATTGCTATCATCGTTGTTGTGGCCTTAGCAATTATCGCTGGGATTGTCGTGCTGGTGAGTAGAGCGCCAGCAAGAACTTTCTTGAAGGGCATCTTCTTTCATGAAAAGACTACAGTTATGTTCCAAAATCTATCTGGATTTTCTGACTGAAATTCCCTAGAGTGACTACATGCTGTTGGCATTTCTGAACAAGCAGGAAAAGAAGCTACTCTGAGGAAAACTTGCAATCGAGCACCTCCCTAGCTCACAGCCATTGCCATTGCCAGCAGGCACCAGACGCCCTGCGCATAAGGTCAGGCTTGTGCACGACACCTGCACTTTCAAGCCAGTCCATGAACTGAAACAACAGAAACGAGTAGCATCGAAAAGAACGGAAGGTAGAACAAAGTCCACATTCATTTTGTTAAACACCAAACTTACTGGTGTGGTGGAAACTAGTGGATCTCCCAAGACCGTGGCTCTTAGACAGCCCACCCACCTTTCAGCCAAACATGAGCAGGCCCATGAAGTGGACGGTACCACCAGGGAGGCGTGTGCCCTTCAGATCACTACTTTAAAAACAAATGGCACTCACTGCCATTACATTGAGTTTGACTCGCGGCCACCTTATCGGACCGTGTAGGACTGCCACCGTGGGTTTCTGAGACTAACTATAAAGGAGTAGAGAGGTTCCTCTCTCCTGAGCAACTGGTGGTTTTGAACTGCCGACCTTGGATTTAGCAGTCCAAAGGGCAATCTACTACGCCTTCTCAGAACAACATAAACTCTCAATGCCTTCAAGTCAGTGCTGATTCACAGCAACCCCCTGTGGGTTTCCAAGACTAACTGTTTACAGGAGTATAAAGCCCGGTCTTTGTCCCTTGGAACTGCTGCTGGTGGATTTGAACTACCGACCAGGTGGATCACAGCCCAATGTATCACCACTAGGGCAAGGGACCAAAAAGGCAGCATTTATTCAAAGACAAAGGACAGAAGGCAGGGAAGAGGTACAAATGGAAAACAGGGACCCCAGGGAAGAAATGGGGAGAGTGCTGTTAACACTGAGGGGATTGTAACACACAGAAAACATAATTTTTAAAAGCACAGGTGATATATGAAGTAACAGTTCTAGATAACAAATTGAACTTAATGATTCAAGTGAGTGGTTTATCCCCTTTACAAGCAGGGATGATTCTAGGAATGTAAAGGTGAGACAACCAAAATCTTAAGCTAAAAACCATTTTTAAAGCAGATTTTAAGGTGTATAGGAATTTATATTTTCAATTTAGTGGACTTTCACACTTGGTTATCCAGCTGGAAGAAAACAAAATTTTAATTCCTGTTTTCACACTACCAAGGCTGGCCACATAGCCCAGCTGCATGAGAATGATAGTTCACAAAATAACCAGTGCAGCAGTGTGAAAGGAGCATGCTCGGGTTTTAAAATAAAGCCCAAATAGACTAAAATTAATTTAGAAAATATTTATACAACCTTGTGTTAAGGAAAATTTTAAGTAGTCAAGACTAAACTAAAAATACTGATGCATGAAACTAAAAAGGACATTATACATAGTCTCCAAAGAGTTCTTAGAAATTGGTGAAAGGAAGGCATGAAACCGCCTAAGGACAAAGCAGCAGGTGTAGACAGGCAGTTAACAGATAATGTATTTTAATTGTCAAACATGAGAAATTAATTATAGATAACTAACTGTTCTGAAGTAATGAAAGCCCAAGTACATGAGGTGGTAAATGTTTATGGCTATTAGTGAAGCAGTCTGTATGTCAGTAGGAGACTGGATCCATCTTTTTATTGGAAGTTGTAATGGAATTATGTTCTCCCCAAGTATCCAAATACACATATGTGTGTGTGTGTGTATATACACGTACTTACATGCGTGTATATCTATACATGCTTACACACATGTATGTGTGTATGTGTTGTAACCCTAACCTCTTGGTATAGTTATAATACATTTTGGAGATAGGTTGTCTGTTTTATTAGTTGGACACCTTTAGTGCAGGGTATGTTTTAAGTCCCTCTCTTAAAACAGAAAAGAGATCAAACAAGCAATCATAAGCAGAGACGATGGGGGAATCATAAGCAGAGAGAGTCCACACCATATGAAGATTGCCCAGGGCCAGAAGGACAAAGACAAGTACCTTGCTCAAAGCAGGCAGTGTCCCGTCCACCCCTCACCCTCACCCCCCTACAGCTGGTATCCTCAACATGGACTTACAGCTACCCATTTCTGGAATTTCAGCAGCCGTAGATAACTAAGAAAGGAGGCGTCCTAAGATGTTACTATATAGGCTACAGAGAGTGCAATGATTTATGTAGAAGAAAGATTATTCTCCCCCCGCCCCCCCAACCCCCATCATTTTCTTGACAATTATTTTTGCTTTGCTTCACTGGTTATAATATTTAAAATTTAGTAATGAAATATTTAAGATAATCAATGTTTATGGTTAGATTCTGAAGTTGAATTTGTTCAGGTAGGAAGCCTATCCATTAAAAGCATTTATGCTGACGTAGGCTAACTTTTTGTTGGGTAGCAATCTTAACATCATAATTTTTTTTCTGCCTTTCAGGTTGTTTCCAGAAGAAAGAGAATGGCCAAGTACGAGAAGGCCGAGGTAAATGATTACGTATGGAATAAAGCCAGTGTGGCCACTGAGTACCTTCCAATGTGATGCCCCCATGGGTGCCCGAGTAGAACAGAGGCAATGGACATACCATGGCTCGGGACAGGCACACCTTAGTCCGCAGAGTAGCACACTTGCTTTTCAACACTTTAAAGAAAGAGGTCTTTTTTTTTTTTTTAAACATTTTATTAGGGGCTTATACAACTCTTATCACAATCCATACACACATCAATTGTGTAAAGCGCGTTTGTACTTCATTCTCAAAACATTTTCTCTCCACTTAAACCCCCAACATTAGGTCCTCATTTTCCCCTCCCTCCCCCCTCCCCTATGAGCCCTTGTTAGTTTATAAATTGTTATTTTGTCATATCTTGCCCTGTCCGACGTCTCCCCTCACCCCCTTTTCTGTTGTCCGTCCCCCAGGAAGGTCACATATAGTCCCTTGTAAT